ACTCGACTGTTTTGTGTTTGGTTTTGCACCAAACACTTGTGTTTTTGCTTTGGAGGGCAGGGAATGGCTTGTTGGCCATCCCCACACTCCACCGGCCATGGCTTGAGGCCACCGGCTGTGTTTTGTTGCCATCGGCCAAATGTTTGGCCGACCGGCACTCTAGATGGTCGACCGACCATGTATTTTGGTCAAATTGCATTTTTGCTTGGCTGACCACTGTTCATCTACTTTTGCAGATATTTTTGTGCCAGCTGTGATAGCTGGCACCCACTTTGCTCCCCTCCATACACGTGTATGGAGGGATCTCCCTCTTGACTAGCTTACTTGAGAAGCTTTGCAAGAGTGAGCCCTATAAGAAGGAGCCTCTTCTCCCTCCATTAGGGTTGACAAAAAAAATCTCCAGAGTTCTGAGTTTTAGGGTTAGGGTTTACATATACTCTATCTCTATATCTCTTCATCTTTTTGGTGTATTAGTGTGTGTTTGTTCTTACTATTTCACACAAACACCTACCATTACACCTTTCCTTAGTTGCTGAGGCATTAGAGGCTTGATCTTGAGCTTTTTAAGCTAGTTTTGATCCAAGAAGAGGTCTGGTCTTGTGATCTTGGAAGTGTTCTTCAAGGGTGAGTGCTCTTGCCCTTTATTCCCCATTTTTACATAGCTTTTTCAACTACCTTACACCTGTTTTCGAGCTTAGCTTATAACATATAAAAGTCTTATTTTTTCTTACTCTAAATAGTTGTTTAAGAGTGTTTTGTTGTTTGGGGTTATTTGACCCCTCTTAGGCCTTGTTTGGCTCTATTTTTGTACTATTTTGGTGAGCTCCGGGACCACTTTGTTTGGGCCTCCTCACCACTGAAATCTTGAGAGATTTTAGTGGTCAGGATGGTGCCTTAAGGTCCTAAGAAGGAGAGGGCCACCCCCTCTCCTTGTTGTCCTTGAAAAGGGTCATTTTTGCCTCATGTGTGAGCATCCTTTCTAAGTGCATGTTGGCCATGTCTTAAGTATTATTTAGTAGTATTTTTCTATATATTACCTCTGTTTTTACTTGGTTTGGACACACCATGCTTGCATCGCATACATGTCTTGTAATGCCGTGGATTGCCTTAACATGCCTTGTGCTTTGAGCCTTGTTTCTAGCATGCTTTTGGCTTAGCTTTGTGAAGCTTTTGTGCTCATTTTAGCATGCTTAAGCTTTGTTTTTGGTTTTTTTGGTCGACCATGACATGCTTAGTATAGCCACCTTGCATTTTGGTTTGTAGGCCTTGGGTGTGTGAGCGTGGAGCATGCATTGCTTGCATCATTTCAGTGGTTTGGAACCGCTTAGCATATCATTTCAGTCCTCATGGCATGCTTGTATGCTTGCATTTGATGTCCCTTTAATGCTTTATAAGGTTGTCATCTTATGCTCCATGTTTGGCCTCTTTTATATGCTTGCATGTTTAGACCATTTAGATGCCATCTAGATGTGTTTTTGGCTTTGTTTTAACATGCTAAGACTCTGATTTTGGTTGTTTAAATCCTACCATGTTTGGTTTTGCTAAGTGTAGCTCAATACCCTTTTAGCTTGCCTCGAGTTTTGGCCATGCTTGCATGCTTTGCTTGTGTTGATTGGTCGGTTTGGCACCTCTTTTTCATGCAATTTCAGAGCTTATAATGCAAGCCATTGGTCCATGTTTATTCTCTTTTAAGTGTGCTTAAAAGCTGTCTCTACGTGCCTAAGTGTTGGACCTTGCATGCATGCCTACTTGTATGTGTCTTGGTTTTCATCCTTGAGCATGTTGGCCACTGTTTTAGGCTTATTTGAGGGCTGTCTAAATTAGTCTAAGTCCATTCTCGCATGTTGTGGCATGCTCACCTTGTGTGTTGATTGCATACTTGGCTTATCATGTGTTGTTGCATGTTTAAATGGCTTTGCATTTGGCATGCATTTATCTTGGTTAAGTTGCCTAACATGTTGTCACATGCCTTGCCTACTTGCATGCCCACATTACATTTTGTATGCTTGTCTTTCCATTCCTTGCATGATTGATTCCTTAGGTTGTGTGCCTAGCATCATTACTTGCTTGCATGTTCATATTGCATGCCTAGTTCGCATGCCTAGGTTGCATTATATTGGCATACATGCCTCACCTCTTGATCAAGCCATGATAGAGGTTGAAGGCTCCCTTGTATGTTTATATGCATTGCATTACATTTGAAATCAAAATGGCACACTTGGTCCCTTGGGCCATCACGCATTGAAATGTACGATTGGTGGTCCGAGAACCAAGAACCATGTCCCTTTGAGTCATAAACATGATAAGGGATGTGTTGGTGCACACATTTGCTTGGAATGCATTGTCATGCCTTGTTTTGCCCTCTGCTGCTGTCAAAACAGGATTCTGCAGGAAGATTTGGCCGGCTAGCCATCTTTAGTGCCGACCGACCAACAATTGGTGGCCGATATCTTAACCAGTGGCCGGTGATCATTCCCCTTGGCTGGTGGTGTCCCACAGGGTTCATAGAATGCACCTTGGGAATTTTGCAATGATCAGAGAAAGAAAATAGTGTAGACAGAGGCAACTTGTGCATGACAGTGGGCTTCCAAGCGGAGTCGAACACGCATTGCATCAGGCCCTCTTCCCGAGGCTGTTTACTGTTTTATTAGATTAGTTAATTTGCTTAACTAGTTTAATTGGTCTATAATATTCAATTAGCTTGTGGGTTAGTTAGATCTGTATTATTCTTTCGGTCCCTCCGAGCGAGAGCAAATTTGTAATAAGTGTGGGTGTGTGTGTGCATGTCTTCCAACCCCCACTTCTTTCTCCCTTTTACTTGCCTTCTTTGATGGTTAGTACTAGGACATATTTAATTTAGCATCCTTATGCTGTGCATGCATGCATCATTCATCAGTATTGCATGCATCGAGCTTGGTGCATCATACTAACTGCATAGTATTTCAAATCTAAACTTGAATATGTGTATCAAACGGTTGCATTTCACATGACATCCTAAGATTAGCCGGGCCTATCCTAATTGCATTCTGTATGCGTTGCATTAGGCACTTAACATGGACTTGGATCATACATTGATTGCTAACGAGTTCTTTGTTTTGACTTGGAGTACCCTGTAAGTATTTTGTGCTCTAGCATCTCGCACGAGTGTGAATGTTAACATGACAGTATGCTTACCATGTGGCTAGATGCTTATGTGATATGAACTGCCTGAATGCCTGTGGGTGAAGGTTGGATTGCTTGAGTTGGAACAACTCATCAAAATCTATATTTTAGCCTACTCGCGAGTAGCAAATTTCAAAACATTTTCCAAACAAACGGATATGCGATGCTTTGTTCCAAATTAGGCGATCTAGTCTACACTTGTTTGCTGTGCGCATAATATAGTAATTCTAGGCTAATAATCGGAATAAGAACATGCAATGTTTTCAAAACAAGATATCATAGTTATTAGAGGCCGATCTTTGATCGGGCGAGAGGGGGTGCTCATAGCTGACCTTCCCCAATCGTACCCAAGTTCCCGAGGCGAGGCAACTTTGGTGATGACAGACACGTGGCCTTAGGCAACGAGTCAGGATTTCCTAAATTTTCCCAAAAATAAAATATTTAGGTGGCGACTCTATATCTGGCAAAGCAGTCTATGTTTGGCACTTCTTTTCTAAAAAATCTGTTTTTTCTCAAAACGATTTGCCGGATTTAGACTCTTTGGTTCAGATTAAGAACCGTAACAATTTGAGAGTCCTGAACTATAGTGAACCCAATATGAACAGAACGGGACTCATCCTCCCGGAGCGTTCGGGGACGTCTACACAAATGTATACTCGTGGAAATTGTATATATGCTAAGCACATCTATCTATCTAGCTATTTATTAAATAAGTAAAAACGAGTTTTTGTGAGAAATTTTGTGAGAACTCCAAAATTTTATAATAAATTTGTGATTTTATCAAATTGAAAAATAAATTTAAATAATGTTAAGATTACAATTATATTCTAATCCTAGTGGATTTATTGTCTAATAGGTTCTATGAGAAAAATTTGTCATAAAAAAATATCACTAATTGTAAGTTTTAGTGACAATTTATAAAAAAATCATGATAAAAAAAGTCACTAATTGTCAATTTTTAGTGATATGTGTAAAAAATTGTCACAAAAAAAATTATTTTTAGTGATAATTTTATTAAGACTTGTTTTTAATAGGACGTGATAAAAATTAAATTCAACTATTAAGACCTATTGATAATTTATCTTATTATTTATACTGTACTTTCAAGAACCGGTATACGTTAGACCATCTCCAACGATGAACCAAACCCAGCATCAGATTTAAATTTTGATGAAAAACTCACTTTTTCACGCTCCAACGGTTTCACCAAATCGATATCAAATCCAGAATTCAGCAAAAATGGTACCAAACTGAGTGCAGGCGAAGCATTTCAGCAAATCACTGTTCCTAACCGTTGGGATGAGACGAACAGGTCGACCATCCGGTTGACCAACCGGTTAACCAACCGGTCGCCTCGGAGAAAGTTCAGATCGTTCACAAAAAGGTTCAAACCAGTCCAAAAAAAAAAAATAAAAAATAATTTTGCCTAGGTGGTCAACCACCCGGTCGACCGGCCGGTTGACCACCCGGTCGACCACCAAAAGTTCAAAAAGTTCCAAAAAAAAGGTTCAAACGGGTAAAAAAAAAAAAAATTTTTGCCATTACCGGTTGACCGGCCGGTCGACCGGCCGGTCAACCAACCGGTTGCCCAGCGCAAATTTGATGAAACGGATTTGATATTGAACCGTTGGAGCGCGAAGTATCAAATTAAGGAAATGACCCATTTTTTACACAGATTTGGTGAAATATTTAGTACACCGTTGGAGATGCTCTTAGTATATATATTTTAAATTGTTAAACCAAATACAACCGTAATTAGTTATTTTAGCTAGCTTCTTTTCAAACCGTACATCAATTTGTAACTATTTCAATACGAGTCGACTTGAGCTCCGTAAACTGCCCTAGAGCCGATGGACAAAACAAAGGGTTGAACAAGTGCAAAGGTAAAAGGTTGTTGACTCGGCTGTGAATCGAAGGCGGTGCAGTATGGGCAAGAGGCGAGAGAAGCGAGTAGCAACCGCCACCGGTTCAAACCACCGTCGTGACCGACATCGGACGACCGACTCGGCCGCCGATTCAAACCCTAACCGGGACCGCAAGCTCTTCATCATCTTCGTCGTCTTCTTCATCGTCCTTCCCGCCATTTCCCTAATTGTATACACTACTCTATTCGCTTCACGCACAGACACTTCTCTCCCAAACTCACACCAACCAGGCCTCGCCAAGATCGACATGAATTACCTCCAAGTCCTAACTGTACGCATCTCTCTCTCTCTCTCTCTCTCTCTCTCTCTCTCTCTATATATATATATATATATATATATATACACTATTATATATGTTAGCGCTGATTTGATATCTAAGTGTTTGGTGGCTTCTTCTTCTGCACGCGGTAAATTTTTATATCCTAAAAATAAAAATAAAAATTATTATTTGAAGGCGTAGGTAAGATTTGAACCCAAATCCTTCTGTTTCATTAAGATACTAATTTCCTTATTATTTATTTTTAGACTTACTTTTGTGAATTCTGAATTGCACACGCATCGCTTGTGCCACCTGCTAATATATATATGTGTGTATTCATGTATTGTAATTGTAGTTATTTGTGCAAGAGAATAGAGATAGAAGTTTCAGGTATTTCAATTATGTTTTCTTTAGAAATTCAGGAGAATTCAAAGTTATCGGAGAATACATCTCACCGGCATTTTAGGAATCCAGTACTGGCCTACATTACTCCATGGTATGTCCATCTTATAAACAGTGTTTTGTATTAAGCAAAGAAGCTTTGATTTTAGTGGGGAGACAATGCTATCAATCTCTTGTAATTAAGTTTGTTTTACAAGTAATTTGGTTTTTGTTAGTTTGATTGGCATGATATTAGAGTTGGTACATACGGGATGCATTATTGTGTAATGTGGGGAAGAGAAAGTTCATTTTGGTATGTATGTTGATAACTTAGTGTATTAATCAGTGTAACTAGAAAATGCTAGTAAATTTGGTAATCTAAAACAATCTCAAAAGTATTTCCTAATATATTTACTAACCATTTTGTAGGAGTAAAATAAAAAATAAAAAATAAAAGCAAATATGATGAATTAAAATCTAAGGTGACTGAACTTTTGACATGACGAAACGTAGGAAAAAAATCTACATTTTAAAAAAATGTCTAATTGCTGAAAAAAAGTACTCAAGAAGTACTTTAAATTCTTTTAGTATAATACATATAAGTCTACCCCTATCATACTGCAATTTAGATCATGTGACGTACTATGTTCTTGTTCTACGTAGCTGAATGATTCACATTTGAGATGACACAGGTTTTAATAGATTAAACATCTTAGGAATATTGAATTATATGACTAGTAGTTAGATTTGGAGCTGGTACTTATATTCTCAATCAAGTATCTGTGGTCACAAAATATAAATTTTCTCCAACCAAAAGTTTAGCGAGAAAGTGTGGAAATTTCTCAGCTTGTATAAGTTTATTTTGCTAGCCAAACTAATTATATGTAATAGAACTGTTATTTCCGTGAGATTTCTTTTTAGATTGTTAAAAGGTTGCAAAGTTCGCAATGTATTTTCATGGTGATTTGGGAGAAGCTTGTGGTTGTGAATATGTGGTTTTCCTACTACCTTACATATTTGGGTTTTTGGGTTCAGTATGATGCTATCTAGTATAGACATTTGTTTGATAATGATGGGTCTCCATATTTGTCATATACTCATAGCAACCTTCAGCATTTACAAATTCACTATCACATACTGAATGTTGCAGGAACTCAAGAGGCTATGATATTGCAAAGACATTCAACTCCAAGTTTACTCATCTATCGCCTGTGTGGTATGACCTGAAGAGGTGTGTCTGATTTCTGATTATCAACTTGAGTAAGTCCTGAATCTTAGAAATGATTGTTTTGAAACCTCAAGTTTATGAGAATATATTGACCTTTGGGGTCTCTATAATATGCTAACCCCTTTTGGTATGGTTGTTAGCTGAGGGATTTTAAGTTTTAACAATGAATTTGAACTTGTTATTTTAGCTTTCCAGCATTTACCATAGCTTTTCATTTTAATTTTTTTTTTATATAAGATTACCATTATTGCCAAAATTGCTGGTGATCCATAGTCATCAAGTGGTATCAGATGCCCAAAAGGCCCACTCTTTTGGATGGAGGCAATTGATACTGACATCAGAGCCTCGATAGAGCTAAATGAGACTTCAAAAATCTCTAGAGTTATGATATTTATGCTAAAATGACAAAGAATGAGAAATTGGACTGTTTAAGCTAGGGCTGTATGTGCTGTTAAATATGTTCATGCTTTTTATTCTTTCTTTCTGATGCCAGCCAAGGGACCAAGTTAGTTCTGGAGGGAAGACATAATGCTGATAAAGGATGGCTTTCAGAGCTTAGAATGAAAGGAAATGCTCTGGTATAATTAACTCATTTTATCATATTGCACAATGGAAGCAGACAAATGTACTATTTTCCTACGTAGTAGGATTAGCATGACTTGTATTTTCAACGCTTGTTGAACAAGAATTAAAAAAAAAATGAATTGAAAATTTGCTGAAAGAATAAGTACACATTAAGAGTAACCAAAAGGCATCTTTGACAGGACATAAATTTCTCCCAAAGACGCTCATAATTATTTGTCAGATTTTCTCTTTTATGAAGTTTATTGCTTTAAACATTTAGAGAACTCAAATTAGAATGATTGGCTTCACAATCTTGGTTTTTCACTTATTTATTTATTTATTTTTCAAATATTCCAATGCACGAAAAGATGATGGCACCACACATTAGGGGGAAGATATCTTTACTCGGAAGATATCTTTACTCGGATATAACTATTATTCTTTCGTTTCTTTTGCTTGGATTGATTCCTTTTTCTTTCTTGGAAATACTTATATAGCTGAGCATATTGACAAGTACTCATGCTTCTTTCTAGTAGGTTTTTGGTATTATAACTTTAAAAAAAAAAATACTAAACTTCCTTAATTGGTTTTGTTTTCCTCTCTTGCAAAATAGGTTTTACCGAGAGTGGTTCTAGAAGCATTTCCCAATGAGCTGTTGAAAAAGAAGCAGCAGAGGAAAAAAGCAATTGACCTTATAGTGAGAGAATGCGAGTAAGCCTTTTATCCCGCAACATATATTCTATCTCAGTAAGTTTGTGTTATATGAGGAAACATGGTTCACTGAAAACATCTATGCTAAATGGAAAGGTAAGACACCTTCCTACTTTGGGGGGTAGTTATAGGACCATTGTATTCTTATTTTATCCTAAAACCATGTCACTGACTAAAAGAAATCAAGTGTTAAATGGTAACTTAAAAGAATGCCACATCATCAAATATTCCCCCTAACTACCTTCAAATCCCTTTTGTCATTCCTATGCTTTTGTCTTTCTTTCCCTTCCGCTCCCTCCATGGGCTACCATCATGTGCACTGCAAATGTACCGTCATATATTGAGGAAGAATGGAAACAGTACATGCAAGGGTTAGTTCAAAAACTACCCAACCTTAACCTGCCCTTTTTGTCTTTTTCTTTCGAAAATATAAGATTGATAAAGATTGGTGGTCGGGGGGTGGGTGGGTGTTGATAATGTAGGTGTTGGTCATATAATGTGGGATGTTGGGAGGATGAACTGGATGCAGACCTAACTTCAAGCCGTATTTCGAAGAAGATGCTGACTTTATACTGTAAATGGTCTCGGCTATGGATTCAGATTATGTCAGGACTATATTTATACCTGGAAACTAATAAGCACAGATACTTTTGAGAATGTGACGTATCCGAGTCGAGTCGTGTCGTGTCGTGTCAGACACCGACACTCTTTGGACACTTCTTCGACACGTGTCCGACACTCTTCGAAGCATGTTCTATTTTTTATTTTTTTTGAAGATCCGGACACTCTTTGGACACTTGGAGGACACACATGTCTATCGCTTAAACACATGTGTCTATCGATTAGACATAAGTGAAACTAATTATAGGTTTGAACAAAACAATTTAAAATACAATAATAAAACAAAAACTATATAAATCTATAGGAATTGTGTCATATTGCATTTTTTATTATCTTTGAATGATATATTCATATATGTAACATATAATAAATATATAAAATTATGTATTTCATGTGTGTCCCCCATGTGTCATGTCTTACATTTTTTGAAAATTAGCTTGTCGGCGTGTCCGTATTGTGTCATGTCGTGTGTCCATGTCCATGATTCTTAGCCTGAAAAGATTTGAGAGATCTCATTTCACACCTTCCCTGGCATGTTATTGTTGTTCACATGTCAAGAGTGAACCAGATATAATCATCGACCACTGATTAATGCTAATGGCTTTTCATCTTTGGGGTTTGATATTACAATTCAAGGATTGAAACAGCATGTTCATGTGTGTTTAATAGTTGTTTACTATTTTTTTAAATAAAAATGTTTATGTGGCTCTTCTCATAATGTATAGGGAAATGGAATATGATGGTATTGTGCTTGAATCTTGGTCAAGGTGGGCGGCATATAGAGTCTTGCATGATCCAGACATGCGGAATACGGTATTTAAAAATTCTCTTTACGATTCTTTTCCTTTCGACAATTTTTGCAGTGTTTGAGATACACACCATCTTCAGCATGTAATCAACTGCAGTGTAGGCACTTATAAATATCTCATTATTTTCACTATTGTATTTCCTAGTTTTGAGAAACAAATTGACATGGCTTTCCCTTTGATAAACACAATAATTAACCAGTGTCATTTTGAGAGGTCTGTTTGAGTTACTTTTTTTCATGAGCCAACTCGTTAAGCCTTTCATAAATTCAAATATTTCCTTGCCTTGCTTGCTTGTCTTAAGTTTTCAAAAGTGTTCTACGATTGTAAAATTTAGCAAAAAGAAGAATAAAACCTTGCTGTTGTAATATCCAAGTTGTGTGTCATGAATGGATATTCTAGTGATATTATCTTGCTCTTAAGCATGGATGCATGACCCGTTAGTTTTTAGCATTTTAACCCACATATTCGCCTTTATATGAATCCCATTTTGTCTTCTTACATCCTAAGATATGTGAGTTTTGTGGGATCTTTATTGTTTTGCAAGCCTAGGCACTTCAGTTCATAAAGGAATTTGGACAAGCACTACATGCTGTGAGCTTAGAGAGGAACAGTAAGCAACGTTTGCAATTAGTGTATGTTATCGGTCCACCATATTCGGAGAAGCTTCAAGAGCATGACTTTGGACCAGAAGATCTCAAAAGCTTGAGTGATGATGTGGATGGTTTTTCACTTATGACCTATGACTACTCAAATCCTCAGCATCCGGGTCCCAATGCTCCTCTAAAGTGGATCCATTCTACTTTGCAGCTGCTCCTTGGTACCTCCAGTAGTGGTGCTCAGAGCCTGGCTCATAAGATATTTATTGGTATCAATTTCTATGGGAATGACTTCACCCTCTCAGAAGGTATGTCACTTCAGTTTATCCTTTAATTATTATTTGCTGCTTGGTATTAATTAATTTATATTTTTTTATTTATGCTCTAATTGATTAATAAGAGCACATGAAGAAGGAAGACATGAAATGTAGAAACTTGTTATAGTTCGGGATGCAAGCTTACAATTTCCCCCCCTTCTTGTGCTTTTTTGTTTTTTGGTTAATCAAATAAGGCACCATGATTTGTCATTTCCAAAGCATCTTGAGTCATTTGGTTTCCAACACAATGACTTCGGACAAAGTAGATGCGAATCTTGAGGATGCTTTTCATCCTTTGAAATCAACCCATGTGGGGTCTTGTTGGCGCTTCTAGTGTACATATGCTATATGCATTAAAAATGTCATTATATTATTGGTGGATAGGATATGAACTTTTGACTGAAGCGAACCCAAGACAACGATTCTTTAGATAACTAAGTCCAAACCATCTAGTAATTAATTCAATGACCTAGGCTTTCCTTTCTGATGATCAATTGAGCATTTAATGGAGTCCTTAAATACCCAAGGAAATCTGTCTGATTCGTGGTTGGTGAACGGAGATGTTTGCCTAGGAGTTTATTAGAAGGAACTTTCTTTTACTCTCCCGTTTGATTAGGAGAAAAAAATTATGGAAAGTGGAAGTGGTAGAAAGTAAAGAGAAGAAAAGAAAATGGGAAATAAAATATATTTTATTCCAAGCATTTGATTAGGATTAAAATTATGCAAGAACAAGAGAGAGAAATTTGGAATTTTAATTGTAAGTAACCCCTTGCATGGACATAGCTAATTTTTTTTGTATTTTCCTGTATTTTTTGCAAGAAATTAAAAACTTAGCCATGTAGTATGCTATAGGTTGTAATGAAACATTTAAATGAAAACGCTATACAATGAAAATCCCACATTCAAACAAATCGAAACAAGGTATAGCAACCTCAAACACAAAAGTAAACACGCCACACGTGGGAATTACAAACCAAACCACAATTCATGCAGAAAGGATATAAGAAAATTATGCAAACCCAAACACACAACGCGCAAGAAAAGCGAACAGCGACCGTTTGAACATCCTTGCTGCAATAAAGAGAAAAATAAAGCAAAATAGTGTATTTCTTAAGGATTGTTTGCACACTTTGCCTCTCCTTTTCATGGGGAAATCAAAGGAGAGACAAACTTTGGTTCACAAACCATCAATCAAGCAAATTTATTGCATGATGGCTTGTGAAACCAATTATGCAAGTTCAATAAATGCAAAATGAGACCAAAGAGACCATCACCTTATCTTGTATGATCAAGGGCAATGGAGCACATTTCATCACTTTTGAGTTCGAAATGTCTCATTTTCCTTGTGTTCAAACTAACGTCCGATTTAAACACATGCAATGTAACATAAAGAATGCTTATCTTACCTCTTTTACTTGCCAATTTTGTTTACTCATTTTCATTACCAAATCATTCTTTAATCGATTGAGTTCATTGGTGAGTGTCCTCTAATGGAAAGAGGGTTCAAACCAAAGGTTGTTTTTGGCATGAAAGAGACCTTGTGCCATTGGTAATGAACCCCAAAAGGGATTAAACCGTTAAGCACAAACATCTCAATTTCATGCTTTAAACAAGCAAATGGTTTAAACCACTTTCAAAACAAAAATAAAACCAAGAAAGGGGGAAGGTTGTAGATATGATTAGGTGCTGAAAATGAGTACTAAAAACACTAAAACATGCAACCAACTCAAACCAATGATAGTTAAAGCCTTAAGGCCCCGTTTGTTTTCAGAGGTAGAATGGAGGGGATTAATAGTGAGGGGATTGATAGTGAGGGGATTAAGTAAAATTGTATTTGTTTTGATAATAGTTGTTAGTATAGGAATTGTTAAATTATTTTTATATAAAATAATAAACAAATAAAAAAATATAAAAAATTAAACATTAATGTTTAAAAAAAAAATCTCAATATGTAAAAAATAAAAAAATTTATAATCCCTTCACTATTTTTCTAATATCACCTTCACCTCAACCTCTTCCATCTCAATCTCCCTTCTAACCTCTATTTTAATTCCCTCTTTTATTCTAATCCCTTCCCCAATTCTACAAACTAACATAACATTAAATAATCTCATTTCCATCATAATTTTCTCCTATGCATTACACTCCAAAACAAACGGGGCCTTAGTGTTCTCGATACATGAGGTGCCACAAAAAAAGATGGATAGGGTCATAGTTTTATCTCTCACCGACCCAAGCAGGTTAAAAGGTTGGATTCATTAATCCAATAATTACTGCTCTTATTGATTATGAAGTACCATGTTAACAAGTTTGAGTTTGGTATGTTAGGGACTAGTGAAAATAAAAAATTGATTTCATGAAACCTATCTTATGCATTAATAAGCAGTTTTCCACTACAATCATATATAAAATGGATATTTGATAAGTGGTCCTTTATACTTTTCTCTTTTCTTGGGGAGTGATCATGGATCCATTCAACTCGACCGAATGAACTAAACACGATTGATTTTGGGCAGATAAAATATTTCAACGGACAGATGTAGATAAAATATTTCAAAATTTACGGATACGATTCGGATGGCGGTTCAAGCATTTTGTATCCGCATAAACTCGATCCATTCGTAGATGTTAAAAAATAATAATAATAATAATAATAAATTGCTAACAAGTAACAACATAGGGTAGAAATAATAAAATATATATTTTTGTGGAAATAGAAAATAATATCTTTAAAATATGCAATCATGACTTAATATAGACAAATAATATATATATTTTTAAATTATTAGTTATTGAAGATTGTAGAAGTTATGAATTATAATTCAAAAAAATATCTAAAATTTGTAAAGTCTAAATCGCTAAATTGATCACATCTATCTGTTAGCTTGCACGGTCCGCTCATTCTGCATCTGCTAAATTGGTAGACAAAAACTTATTGATTTTTTTTCTAATCTACTAAATTCTGAACGGATGAGATGTTACCCGATCCAATCGGATCCACAATCATCCCTACTTTTCTCTTTTTTTTGTTTTGTTTTTGTTTTTGTTTTTCCTTTTTCCAATTTCTCCGTTCTTTTTTTCTCACAATTCAAAAGTGCGAGACCTCACACTAATGAAGGAATTATTCTTTTGATTTTCATCGGTTGATTGTGAAAATTATCCAATGTTGCATAACAACGTTAACTCCAGTGAATTTTAATAAATTTTCTTATAAATAAATTATTGAGATTCATTTTATTAATTTGAATTGAAATGTTTCAAAAAACTAAACCACATTGTTTGAGCAGTTTTTTTTTATTATAAATATTCTAAAAACTTAAATTATTTATCAAAATAATATACTTTTCAAAATATTTATCAAACAAATTTACTTTTTTAAAAACCTAAGTTTAAAACGCAAGTTCATCATGAAATCTCATGGTTAAAATGCGATTTCATGATAAAATCGCACGGGATTTCGCATTGACTTGACTTATAAATGTATAAATGTGGGCCATGTCAAATGAAATTGCATGTTCAAGATGCAAGTTCACCATGATATCATATTTTGAACTTGCAATTTTAAAAGTGAATTAGTTTGATAAATAGTTTAAAAACTTAGGCTCTATTTGGAATTAATTTTCCATAACTCTGCAGAAAACTCTGTCAAACAGAGCGCAATTTTCAATTTTTTTTTCCGAAATTTGGCCTAACCGGTCGTTCGGCCAGTTGACCGGAACAGTGATTTTTTTTTTTTTTGGCAATTGATATGTTAATTTTTATGTATTCGAAAAAAATATTTTTTGAATTTTTTAAAAAAATTTATATGCTTTAAAATAATTTTGAGTTGTATGTTTAGTTATGAGTTGTAAATTTTTGTATCAAATATCAAATGTCACATCAACAATTCTCCACTCAATTCAAAACTCTTTTTAAAACTATTTTCAAAACTCTTTGTCAAACAAATTTTCTACACTCAAATCATAATTCCAAACCTCACAAACTCAAAATATAACTCATACTCTCAAATCATAGTTACAAAGTTCTACCAAACGTAACCTTAATTATTTATACAAATAGTTTAATTTTTTAAAATATTCAAAAAAAAAAAAAAACACATTGTTTGGGAGCATTTGTTTGTGGAGTAATTTAATGGGACAAATGATTTTTATAAAATAAAACACAAATATGAACTCTATATATGGATTTATTATTTGTTTCACATTTATTCTCATTTTAGGAAATTTTTTTATACTCCCTCCGTCTCAAAATATTAGTCCCTTATTTCATTTTTCATTGTCCCAAAATATTAGTCCCTCTTCAAAAATCAAGTACAAAAATAAAAAAATTTCTTATTTTACCCTTCTTTTAAATTAATAAATAATATAAAAAGTACAATTATGACATTAATATTCTCAAAAAATATACTATCAAAAGGGTAATTTTAAAAAATCAACATTTTTAAAGTGTAATAATTGTACTATTAAAAAAAATTAAATTATCTATTATTTTAAGACAGAAAGAGTAATTCTTTTTGACTGATAGTAAAAAATAATACTGGGCTTTGGTAATGGGCCTCAATGTACAACTGTACTGCATAGCGTGTACAACTCGCAATGGTATTGCATGTTCAATGGACTTCTTGAGGCATTTTCTCAGCCACACAATCAATGAGATTTACCACCCCATCCAATACGCCACGTGTCACTCAACAAGTGGCCACAATCCCATCTCCCCTTCCACCTCATCACCTCCCTCCCTCAGTCAAAAACCACCAGCCAAACGACACCCACTGAATCCCAGAAGCTAAGCCTCAAAATTTTCACGGTAACCAAACAAAAATTGCAGAAAAAACAAAAGACAAAAGAAAAATTCTCATGGTGTTTGATTGAACCAAATTCTACCAAAATTTCTGAGTTCTTGAGAAACAGAAAATTATGCTATGGAGACCCTCAATGCAGTTGGATTGACACCCATCTCTGTTTTCTCAGACAGAAGATCAGAACCCAGAAAAACTCTCTCTCCCCCAACAACTTTCCCATTCAAATTCCCAAATTCTAACCCTAACCCACCAAATTTTCAAGTGGGTTTCTCAAATTTGTCAAGGAGTTTTGGTGGGGGTCTAGTGCTATTATCTTCATTTCTCAATTCTGGGTTTTCTAGGGCTTTGACATATGAAGAAGCCGCACAACAATCAGTGAGCGCAACCACTTTAATTCCCAGTTCTGACTTCGATTTTGGTGGGTTTGTTGATGATATCGTCAATTTCGCAGTAGATAATCCGGTGGTGGTTGCTGGTGGCGTCGCCATTGTGGCGGTGCCTCTGGTTGTGTCTCAGGTGTTTAGTAATTTTAAGCCATTTGGGGTTGAGTCTGCTAAGAATGCTTATGCAAAATTGGGTGATGATGAAAGTGCTCAGTTGCTTGATATTAGAGCACCGTCGGAGCTCCGGCAGGTGGGTGTCCCGGACGTCCGGGGGCTGAGGAAGAAGCCGGTGGCGTTGGCGTATAAAGGCGAGGACAAGCCGAGGTTCTTGAAGAAGCTTTCATTGAAATTTAAGGAGCCAGAGAATACGACATTGTTCATTCTTGACAAGTAAGGTTATCAACCTAATGCTTCTTGGTTTTTTGCTTATTATATATACGTATTGTTGTTTAATTGTACATTGGGTGAAATTTAGATTGACGTTTGTCAAGTTCCACAGCTCTTGTTAAATGGAGATGTGGATGAGTAGAAAATCAAAATCAAAGCAAGAATTGAGGGGGAAGAATGGTAATTTGGTGAAAATGTACAACACTTACAATGAGGCTCAGGATATGTACCGAATGTATTCACAACCCTAAATGGCACACACTCAAAAGAAACACACTACAGCTAGTCTAGCCAGTAAAGAAAGGAAAATGTTTGAGGAAAATGTACAACACTTACGACGTCGTTTTGGCAGTTTTCAACCATTGTGGCCACAAAAATTGTGGCTCTCTAGCATTGTTGGTAAAGAAAAACCAATCACAGCCCAATTGGCTTGGAAAAGAAACAGATCAAACAACAAACTAAAGAACCAAAGAAACAAAGAAACAAAAGGAAAAAACCCATCTTTTTTACATTTTCTTTGAGTTTCTAGGATGTTTTAGGGACGATTTCTTGGGCTTGACAGGAAAATCTCATGCCATTTTCAATTATTTATTTAATCTTTTTTTCAATCTCTCTTTTGCTTTTTGTTATAGTTGTTAGTGCTTCTTAACTTATGACATGTTGGTGATAGTATTTGAGTTTTCTTTTTAAAAATTTCTTCCAAAATGCTTACATGTGAAACTAATGCTGCTGAGTTTGTGATGGAAGCCAGATTTGATGGAAACTCTGAACTCGTTGCAGAGCTGGTCACTTCGAATGGATTTAAAGCTGCTTATGCCATAAAAGATGGTGCAGAAGGAGCCCGGGGATGGATGGTCGTTACAATTCTCATTTCTCTGTTTCACATTTTTCGTTCTTTGTGGCATCCAAGTTTTATTTGTTTCTCAAATAAGATGAAATTTTAAGATAAAGTCTCTGTGCTTGCAGAATAGTGGTCTTCCTTGGATACTACCAAAGAAAACATTGAGTCTCGATTTCAGCAATTTGACTGATGCAATTGGAGTATGGATTTTACCTCGAGAGCTATCAGCCTACAACTTGTTTGAATTTTTTTTTCCACCCATATGGTTTTTGTTTCCCACAACCTAGAAACAAGTATGTTTTTTTTCATATAGTGTATGACGAGGTATATTTGCAGGAGGGGGCTGAAGCATTGCCCGTTGCCCTTGGATTCGCCGCTGCTGCGGGATTAGGTTTATTGGCATTTTCAGAGGTTAGCCTGTTGATAGTTTGTGTCCTTTCATCATACATTATGCTTTGTTTATTCCTAGGAAAATTATATCCATGGTCCTTGTAATTTATCTTTTGTGTCAATTTGGTCATATAGTTTCAATTGTATCAATTTTGGCTTTTAATTTTTCATATTATGTCAATTTAGTCCAATTGATAACATCTGTTAGAAATTGGACATAAATCAATTACAAAATATTCCATTCAAAGGGAATTGGCATTTCAAATTGGATGCTAACCTCTCAATTACTTTAAGGAGAGTGAATGAACTATTTTGCCTATTGATTTTAGTCCAATTTCTAAAAGGAAGTTATCAATTGAACTAAATTGACACAATGTATAAAATCCGAGGGTAAAATTTATGCACTTTGAACTGCAACTTACAAGAACCAAATTGACACAAAAACAAACTACATGGACTGTGGGTGTAATTTGCCCTTCATTTATTTTTTTCAATGGTTCTTACAATGGGTGAACATGGTGCTATGACAAATTCAATTGTTAATGCTTTTCCTGTGTTTTTTAGGTAGAAACAATACTCCAAGTTTTAGGCTCTGCTGCACTTCTTCAAGTTGTCAGCAAGAAGCTCCTTTTTGCAGAGGTTTGTTGAATGTCCTTGTAATTTTAATCTTCTACCCTCGCTATCAGCATTTCTTGTCTTGTGATCACCGTGTATCATATACACCCTTCTAGTGATCGTTGTGAAGGCCACTGTTGATACACCACTATTAAAGATGCTTAGGTGTTGTCTCCACGGCCTGAAACAGTTAGAATTTTCTTCAAAAGTAAAATTTGAACTCACTTCAACTTTTAATGACAGGATCGAAAGCAAACTTTGCAACTAGTTGATGAGTTCTTGAGCACCAAGATTGCCCCCAAAGAGCTTGTAGGCGATATAACGGTACTTTACCTTAATACATAAAGCTTTATTAATGTTTTTATTTTCTTTTTATTTATGAAGTCCTAGTTTTCAGCTATGGCCTTTTTGCAAATTATTGAACGTTCCATTTAGAATTTCTAACAATTTTGAAACTCAGCAAATTGGGAAGGCCCTTCTACCATCCTCTGATATTAGCAAGGCTCTTCCAGCACCTGGAGAGTCGAGCCCTGCCACCACCGAAAACACAGTGCAGAAAGCAGAAGCTGTTGCCGAGCCACCAAAAGTTGAAGCAGTTGCTGAACGCACTCCTCAAATTAATTCAGTTCCCATACCAGAAGTTAAAACAGAATCACTTCCTGGATTTTCAAGACCGCTTTCACCATACCCATTTGTAATTCTCATTTTCAACCCTTTACAAATTCTTTAATCAATTAATTATTATTTTTCATTTTCGTTGTAGTTTAGGTGCTTGCAGTTTGAAGCTCATGTGCTATTTGCAAGCGGCTAGTATATTTTTGCCTCTTGTTGATGGCACGAGTGTTATCATTTTCATGATTTTGGAATCAAAAAGAAGTTAAAAAATGCTCATCATTTTTGTCCGAAAGCAGTTTTGAAAAATTCGAAATAACTTTGTGGTCTTTCCTAGAAAATGGGTTGTTTTTAGAAGAAAATTTGAAAATAGTTGGCCAATTATTTTGCTTCTCGGCTAACTAACTACTTTTTGGCTTTCTCTTACCTGTGTTTGTTGCAGTATCCGGATTTCAAGCCTCCAACATCTCCAACCCCATCACAACCCTAGAGATGTAACGGCAAATTGAAGGCTTGGTCTTTTTCTTCAACAGGCAATTGTTTGGCTAGGTATTCCCCGAGCCGACATATCAGTTACGATGTATGCTTCTCTTCTCTATGAGATTTTTGGGCTTAAATGAATTGCAATGTAGACAAAATGTAGACAAAGTTAGTTTCATGAGTTGAATAATCTCTATGAGTAGTAAATATAACAATGAAAGAGAAAAACTTCGATGTTGTTAAGTTAGTTTCATGAGTTGAATAATTTCTAGTTTGTGTCTCATGTAAATGGGAATATTCTATTAGCTAGAATTGGATGTGTAAACAATGTTTATAGTAAATTGCTTGCTTCTGGTGTTGTTTGATGTTGTTAATCATAGGGTACCCAAATGTTGATCTTAGATTCTTATCCATCTTATGTGGGTAATAATTTGCGTCGTTGCCTGTAATTTTTTATTTTTTTGTTTATCTTTGTCTCTCTATATCTCTTTGTATTTTCACATGCAAGACGTAGTTGCATAAGAAAGAGAGTGTTGCATGGCCTTGAGTGAAGTCATGCTCATCATATTGGGATTGAGTCGCCTTCCCTCGACAACCCCCACCCCAAAAAAAACGAAGTTTTCTTGATCGAGTGCTTTCATTTGGAAAAAAAAAAAAAAATGAAAACAATTGCTGGATCAAGAAGTAAAAACAAATGATGAATTTTGTGAAAAATTGTAAGAAAAATGTTAATGAGTGTTGGATTGTAAGTGTTTTGAGTTTTGTAGACTATTGATTAATGTGAAAGAATATCAATAATCATATAACATTATTTATTTTATAATTTTTAATAAAAAATTAATACTTTATTCTAAATCTCGACACAAAGTTTTTAAATTAGTTTAATGCAAAGTGCTATTTAAAATTATATTTTATAAATTAATACACAAAATAATCAAAATTAAAAGAAAACAAACAAATATGTGATGATAATGAGGGGAATGTATCATGATAATTTTTGACTGGCAAATTAATACTCAATTCACTCACATTCTCAAGCCAGGGTCAACAACAATTTTGGTAGGTGTAATTTTTATTTTGTGTAAATTACACTCACCTCCTTGAGGTTGGACTAAAATATAAATAACATCATATTTTTGACATAATTATATAAATTTTTCTTTTAGTATGATAAAAGCGATTGAAATTAATATCAATAATGAGTAGATATCGAAATAAATAAAGATGAATATACATTTTAGTAAAAAATGGATAGTAACATCACTTTTTCATTCATATGAATAATAAATTACTAATAAAAAATGACGAGTTAAAACATTGAGAGAAATAAGTGTAATTATATCAAAAATATAGAAATTCTATTATACATACCCCATACTATATACACCATTAGTTCCGTCATTTTCTTCTTTAGTTATGACCAAATTTCTTTTTTAGTTATGACATTATTTTGAAATTTTAGTTATGACTCTTTTGTGTTTGGTTATAACTTCTTTTCTTAGTTATAACTCAAAAAGTATGAAATTATATCATTTTTATTTATTTATTTATAATTATAAGGTGCATATAGTCTTTTATCAAAAAATATAGAATTAACTATATTTTTATCGAAACCTAAAGGTGGTGCGTGTAATTTACCTTTTTATTATACTAGTGGCAACCCGTGCGATGCACGAGTGTATATGATTTAAAATGAATAACTTATAAATAGGATTGCAAAACATATGATGTGTTATGGTTTTAAGTTTAATATCATTCGCACTGATTGTCTTTTATTATTTATTTTCGATGAGATTTTGATAATCAAAAACATAAAAAGTAATTCAATTAGGCAAACAAATAAATAAAAAACGACTGGAGTGAATCAATAAGTAATCATATAATTGAGAACTATTTTTGCTATGATAAAAATAATATTCTACTGTCAACCCACAAACAAAATAAAATAAAAGACCCAATTATTCAAGTTTTTTATTAAAAAAAATAAATTTGATATCAAATGTAAAATAGCAAAATTAAATATGTACGGGAAAGAAATACTCCTTCTCGTATAATCCTGTTGACTAAGTCAACGCTCCTCCGTACGACGTCACTTTATCTCCTGAAAACACAAACGTGAGCTAGCCGGCGGGTGTGTGCCGGAAACCTCTCCAATGCCTAAGTCAGTAAACTTGACAAATAGACAAAGCTCTATATTTTCAGAAAGCTAAATTGTGTTGTGTTCTGTTACCTCCACCAAGGTGATGTTTGTGAGCTTTTATAAGTTTCGAATGGCACAATCCTAGTAGGACTTTTATTCCTCTATGCAGAGTCTTCCTAGGATTCATACTCCTAAGGATAATGTTTATCCTTTTACACCCCCCCCACTGCTTAAACCAAGTGGGATGGTTTTCATTACGGCCAAACTGTCATTTGACCGAGATAAACCTGGCTTTGTAGAACCGCCGAGTAGACCAAACTATTCTTAGTTCGGCTCTGTTTTTACTCCTCATCTCGGTTCTCCTCTGCTCAACCCATAGCACGATTGAACCAATCTTAACAAGTCGCGACCGGTATAACTCCTAGGTCGGTCTAACTCAAAGATACTGCTAGACCGACCTATTCAAGATATATCCCGACCGGACTAACTCCGAGACCGGCCTAGCTCCAACTTGCCCGGACTAAAGTAGCTTTACTATTCTTGAACCGAAGTAACTTTATAATTCTTGGGCCGGAGTAACCATTTCTATTGGGCCGGAGTAATCATTACGGCCTTTTTACTTAGTCCTTCGCACTTTGGACCACAAAGCCCAACTCACAGCTCGGCCCAATTTTTCCCAAAAATTACCCTCTCAATTGCCCCTTAATTCCATCTGCACAGCATGATTGGGATTATTAGTCTATCAACCGAGCTGGAGTTCTTTAAGCCTTTCCAGCCGAGCTAAAAAACAGTTTAGCCTCTCCAGCCGAGCTAAAAACTCTTAAGCCTTCCAGCCGAGCTACTTTCACTCCGGGCTCTGTTTGTCCGGTCAAAACGTCTCTTCAATCACAGTGACTGTAACGCTTCCCTTTCTAATGACACGTGGCAGATTCTGATAGACTGAGGACGGCTGTCACGCCGTCTTTCGTACTTCGCGAATTTTGAACAGTCCCACCCAAATTTTGGGCTCTCTAACAAAAACAATCCCTGAGGCTAGGTCCCTTCACTTTTGCCATTCACTTTCTTCCTTTTCTTCGAGTTCTCCATTTTTCTTGCAACTGTGAAGTATACTTCGTGTGTGCCTCCTTTACTGTTGTCGCTTCCATTTAGATCTTCTTCAATCTGGTAAGCAAGCCTATCCTTCTTGCTCTGTTTTGCTTTCGTATCTGTATATCTTGTTTTGTATGTTTTTTGCAAATCATTTTGTCCATTTCTGGCTTGCTTCTGTACTTTTATGAAAAAACATTAGCAGAACCCATGCGTGTATGAACTTCTATAGAAAACTAGTCTTAGATCCAAAATTATGTAGCAACCGAACTAGGATACTATTTGTCCTACATAGGTAGATCACTTTAGTCAATAACCGAACTAGAACTTGTATAAATAACAGAAATCTCAATAGGTTACCAAATCCCGAATCACACTGGCCGAGATAACCTTTTTGAACGAAGTCTGAACTTATTAAATTTAGAACCTCGGTCTTCAACCGAGCTAAGCCTTTGGGGCTGAGCCAGCTTCCTTAGTTTCCAAACCGAACTCAGAAAGCTGCCCCTAGAGGCTCAACCGAAGTAACAAAACTCATACTAAACCAGTTTTCTTAGTTTTTTGGACCGAACTCAGTAAGCTGCCCCTAGACGATGAACCGGTCTAATAAGCAACCTGCTCAAACCGAGCTACCAAACCTTTTGACGAACCGAGGTAGAACCAGTTTACAAGGCCGAAGTAGGGCTCTTATACCTTGCTTTTAATTTGTAGCACGGTCCAATGATCAGTGCTTAACCCCTTTGTTTTCTACTTTGCAGACTTAGGTTACCCAGGCACATCTTCGTGCGCTCAACCATGCTACTGAGCACAATTTTTGCACTGATATAACTTATCCATAAATTATACAACAAAGGGGTAAGTATAGATATTTGGTAGAGACCCCTGGTGGCATGGCCAAATTCCGAAGGGATTATGGCATCCCAGACGATGTTCACCTTACACTAGCCAAGAAGGATATCATTCCATGGGGCGAGGCAGGCTTTGTACCCTTTACCCTGCTTTCAATTATAGAGACCGGACTAAGGTTCCCAGTCCAGCCTTTAATTTGTGAGTTTCTTAGGCAAACCCGACTATGCCCAACCCAGCTATCCACCAATACATACCGGATAATAATGGGTATAGCCGAACTAAACCGCCAAGCAGGCCTGAACCTCGGTTTAGCCGAAATCTTCCACCAGTACTCCATAGGTTCCAAAGATGATGGCTGGGTTTATTACCTTAGGATACGTCGCCGTAGAGAAAAGATAATAAAAGATACGCCGGATAAGGATGTAAATGATGATGACTTCTTCTGGGTATCGGGCAATTTTGAAGATCAGTAAGCCCCAATCCCAGGCCGAAGTATAAATTGGAAGAAAGGAGAACCTGGTATAGTTACTTCGGATTTATACATGCTTTTCTTTTACTTCGGTTTCGGATGTTATAACCGATCTAACAATTGTATCCTTTTTGCAGATTCAGCTCATCTTGCTTCCCATTACAGTTACCCAAATTTGAACACACTCCGAGCCGCATTACGGTTTAAAGAAAGGAGTTGGGCGAAGCTTCTAAACTTTGAGCCGACCTACAGATATAACGGTCGTCGAAAAGCCCGAGTGACCGATTTTCTTCTTGAAGAAGCACCTGAACCGGACCCAACCTTGCCCGAAATAAGACTTGTCCCACTAACCGCTGAAGAAGAGATGGCAAAGAAAAGCAGAGTCAGGGCCCTTCTGACCGAAACAACTAGGCCCGAAGTAACGCCACCCAGCCAATCGCAGCCTGCTGTTGTGGCCCTCCCTTCTCAACAGCCGTCCTCTTCCCGCCGAACCAAGCGTGCCAGAACAGCCGAAACCGAACAAGCTTTGGTTGATGAAGAACCTGCTCTTCCGTCGAGCTTACCACCAAGCCCCCAACCGGAGCCATCTGACCGAACTATCGGCAGCTGGGCACCAAAACTAACTTTCAACGACCGAGACATCTGAGATACAGACTCAGTTGTTGCTGAGAAAGACCACCTGTTGGCCATTAATCTGGCCAAGAGTGTGTGTCTACCCAAAGACATGGAGCACCACCAGAAATAGTTAAACACCGAACTGAAGGCCATCCGGTCTACAACTAAATCCATGATTCTGGTAAGCAACTTCGGTCGTTTTGCTGTCTACTTTCTTT